GTTTTTGGTTTGGTTTTTAAGAAGAGACTGGACAGCCATTTGTCTGAAATGGCATAGGGTTTCCTGCCTGAGCAGGAGGTTGGACTAGCTGATCTCCAAGGTCCCTTCCAACTTATTATTATTGTTGTTGTTGTTGTAATTTGAGGACTACCTGCAACACAGCAACCGGTATATTTTGCACCTTTCTCATTTGATACTGTCTCTTCCACAAATGTGATAGATACCACCACATGTCTGCATGCACACAACCTACTGGAAAGCTTTACTACATATGTGAAAGGGATCCCGTTGAGTCACAAGGTATCTAAAGCAGTGTTTCTCAACCTTGACAATTTTAAGGCATGTGGACTTCAACTCCCAGAATTCCACAGCCAGCAATGCTGGCTGTGGAATTCTGGGAGTTGAAGTCCACATGCCTTAAAATTGTCAAGGTTGAGAAACACTGATCTAAAGCCTTCTGGCTACCATAGGAAAATAGAAAAAATGGTTGTTTATATTTGTAATGAAGTTTGGAAGCCAAATATATAAATATATAAAACTTCTTTATATATTTCCTCCTTTTTTTCTTTCTGTGCTCTACATTATTTCTTTCCTTGCACTTTTTATTCTTTTATTTCGTTTTTGAGTTAGCATCCGTTTTTATTACTGAAGTTATAAACTTTAATAACATTATTTCAAAAAACGACAGCTGCAATGACACCACTAAAACTCCAACACCTTTAAATGCGTCAGATAAAGAGGGTGGGGCTTCATTTACCCAATCCAGGATTCCCTCTTCACTTCTTTGACCTCGCTAGGGACCAAATTCACATTTTAAGAACAAAGCAAGAACAAGCTGCTTGATACGATGGAACCCCGCTGTTTTCTCAAACTACCTATCTCTATTCTTTGATGAAAAAACAATGCCGCAGACTTTAATGGCTGAAACCACGGTTAGAAAAGCCTGCTTTTTTAAAATTTCCATGAAATTGTTCTCCAAGAAAAGCATCCCGTTGTTTTTTTTTTTAGGACAAATAAGAATACAGGCAGACAATGACTTGGTGAATTTTGAACTCCCTGTGGTCTTTTATCACTGCCAGGAACAGGACAAAAAAAATGGAAGACCGTTTGCTGGTTATAGTAGCTGCGTGTGAAACTGCGAAGAAAAACAAGTTCTTTTAAAACACCATGTCTAAGATGGTTAAATACAGGACACTAGCTAGATTTTAGGGACTTTGGGCCTGATTCAGCAAGATCCGTTGGAAGGAATGACAATAAATTTTCGGTGAATAACCAATTGGGTGAAGCATTACCTGAGGAGAACTCAAGAGCTTTTAGCTTTGGCATAAGTTATCTGCCGTTTCTTTTCCTTTTTCAGGTTTCCCAACCGTGGCAACTTTAAGACAGGGCTTTTCAACCTTTTCACCCATTGTACCACTTTTAGGATATGGCAATATCTGAGTACCACCAGTCGCCTAGCAAGGTGTCAAAAAATTGATGACCCCCCCCAAAAGGAAAAAAGTGATAAAGTACGGGTAGTCCTCGACTTACAACAGTTCGCTTAGTGACTCTTCGAAGTTACAATAGCACTGAAAAAAGTGCCCCCCCCAAGCCACAGCCGAGCAAGACACCTGCCTGCCCGCCCGGTGGTGCTCTTCCTCCTGTCCGAGGTTTCCATTGTTGTGAGCATTTCTGTTGAGGATTGGCAGTGGGAGTGGGGTGGGGGGTGTTTGGTTTTTATTCCCCCCCCCCCCCGTCTGCTGGGTGGTTGCAGCAGGTTTTGGTCACTTCACATGACCCTGGGACACTGTGACCGTCATAAATATGAATCAGTTGCCAAGCATCTGAATGTAAATCACAAGACCCTGGAGATGCTGCAACATTCCAGCTGATCGGCGCTTCTTCTGGGCTCAGCAGAAGCGCCAGGATCAGTGCTGCTTTCCAGCTGATTGGTGCTTCTTCAGGGCTCAGCAGAAGCACCAGGATCAGCACCCAGCTCCAGCTGGAACTTGGCGCTGATCCTGGTGCTTCCACTGAACCTTGACAGCCCTGCAGCTCCAGCCATCTCTCGCTCAGGCTTGTGCGGTGCTGCCACCGGTTCAGCTCATTCCTCTCCCCCACTACCACTTTTCTAGGATGGTCACGTACCACCTGCCAGGTGCCAATGTAGCACAAGTGGTACCCGTACCACTGGTTGAAAAGCCCTGCTTTAAGACACTTGGACTTCAACCCCCAGAATTCCATGGCAACCTGGGGAATTCTGGGAATTGAAGTCCATGTGTCTTAAAGTTGCCAAGGTTGGGAAAAATTCTTCATAGGCATATTTTCTCTGATGGGGTCCAGCCAACCAGAGAAGACGTGGCGGCACTTTGGGTTAAGGGTGTACGGTACAAGGAGAGGCAAGACATCCATCTGCCTGGGGGGGGGGTACCCTAATTTGGATTCCTGTATTGATCAGGGGTGGGTTTAGAGGCCTGAATGGCCTCTTCTATGATTTTAAATACAATATTCCCTTTTTACAATTCTGTAATTCCATAATTCAGGGTAGAATCACAGCTGAGCATTTACTAGCCGGATGCCCTTCCTGACACCATGCAGGGTTCAGAGCAGATATTTTTTTTCTTTTGAGCTCTAAGAGAGAAACATCTGCTGGCTACCTAGAATTGAACTCTGAACCTTCCAAGTGGGAGGGGAGCATCGTCACCACTAGGCCACCACTAGGTTCATGATTTTAAGTACAATACCGTTAAAGCAAAAAAGAGAGAAAGAAAGAAAGAAAGAAAGAGAGAATAGTCCCTGAGATTATAATTTCTGGGTTGTGTTTGATGGCGAGGCATGTGAATTAACAGATGATTTTTTTTCTTCTTCAAGGCATAGTAGTGACCGTCTCATGATTTAAGCTTAAGACACGGCTAAAGGAGCTTCTGCAGGACATTCTCTAATCCGCATCCCCTGGGTTCCCTTGCTACCAAAATAAAACACAAAGGTTGCAATTTGGAGCAAGGCTTTGTGTTCTCTTTCTCAATGCTCGAGGCCGACATTGCCGTTCATCTTTTATTAGAAAAGTTACACCCGTTTCTCTAAGACTGGGTAAAGCCAGGATCATCCTTAATGGGAAGGTCTGAAGACCAGCTTAAAATCCCCACTCCTAACTCTGTCCTGAGTTCTAACTAAAACCCTTTGGACACTTGAGTGCTATTTCTACAGAACAGGCCTGGAAAAAAAAGCTATACTCTATAGCGGTGTCTGCCAATCTCGCCGATTTTAAGATGTGCGGACTTCAATTCCCAGAACTCCCCAGCCAGCCTTGATGGCTGGGGAATTCTGGGAATTGAAGCCCACGTATTTTAAAGTCGTCAAGGTTGGGAAACACTGGTCTATAGTCACCATCAAAGCCCCCCTTTTTTAATTGTATTAGCTACAGATAGTCCTCAACCTACGACTATTCATTCAGCAACTGTTTGAACAGCACTGAATGAATGATGGCTACGATTGGTCCTTGGGATGCTGGTTGTTCTCCAGCATCTCCACCGTCACACGATCACGATTTGGGCCCTTGGCAACCAGTTTGCACTTACAACCAGTTGCAGAGCACACAATCATACGATTGTCATTTGGAACCTTCTCCTGCTGGCTTCCCCAAAAAGTCAATGGGGAAGCCAACAGGAAGGTTGCAAGTTGCTAGGTTACGTTTCCCTGACCGATGCATCCTTCCCACATCCTTTCTACCTCCCTCTACTCAGAACAAGCCTCTTAGCTATCTGCTGGCCCAGGACTTATAATTCCCCGCCAGCTTCCCAACTGACTTTGGTTGTGGGCAACTGGAAGGAAGATGCCTCATCTAACATGGGATTTGGTTAACAAAGGCAACAGGGACTCCAGGGATTGCTGTTGCTAAACTAGGAGGTCTTGTTTAAGAACTGTCCCAATTGCCATCATAAGCTGAAGATTACCTGTATTCAAACTGGAGCATGACATGGTCAACCATATTTTTATACGTGGCCTGAATCCACCTTATGCTGTTGTTATCTTTCGGCATATCATGCGACCTACAAACCTGGGGTACTTGAGTAGACCAGGACTTAATTAAACTATGGATATACGTATTGTTGTGACCATACACTTGGGAGTGCTTCTTGACTTAACTCTATGCGGCCAACCAAAACGTAGTGAGTTTGGTAGAACTTTCATTGTTATATGGTGACAGGACGTTATATAAGCTAGATGGAGAAATATCAGTTATCTGGGAATTTTTCAGTAAATTGGGTTAGTGGGAATTCTGCGTAACTACTAATACCACCATCCACAGCTCTAATGAGGATCAGGGCCCCAATGATAGTTGCTAAGACTGGTAGAAGCCATGCAGAATTCTGGGCAACAAGTCACTTCTGAACTGTATGTCATGGCTGTTCCATGGGTATTTTGAAACAGTTGCATTCTCCTAAACCAAGGGTAGGCAACCTTGGTTCTTTTATGACTCGTGGACTTCAACTCCCAGAATTCCTGAGCCAGCATGGCTCAGCTTGGAAACCTCTCCCTTTCTCCTCAGCATGGCTGGCTCAGGAATTCTGGGAGTTGAAGTCCACGAGTCATAAAAGAGCCAAGGTTGCCTACCCCTGTCCTAAACCCATGGATGGTGACCTTTACTGTGAAAGGCCATAGCAAGTGCATCAGTTTAATAGATATTCTTTGGGATGAAGCCATCTACAAAAGCATTTTCTATAAACTCTGCAGAAATTCTTAATCCAGCCTTCATCAGCCTGGAAGGGAACCATGCTGAGAGGGAATTTGGAGAGCTGAATTTCTAATGCATTTGGAAAAACCCCGATAAGGGAAGGTCAGTTTGACTCGCGAAAGGAGATTTTCAAGAATATTGGAACTTTCTAAGCTTTGTCTAATCACAACAATTCGTTGGGTGCTGGTGGCATAATTGGTCCTTGTTTACTTTATATGATTTCCGGCTCAGATTATTATTATTATTTTTAAAAAAGGGAAGCTGCTCATAGAAAGGATGGGTACTTGCTCTTCTCTCAATTTATAACGGAAGATCCTACAAGCTTGACGGTCAAGACACTTTAGCATCTTAAGGTTCACAGCCGCTTGAAGACCCCTCTTGCCTGCCTTCACAAAAGAGAAGAATTAAATATTTTGAGTCTTCATTGCTTCCTGGGGCCACTGGTAACTATCAATAATGAAGGAATCATAGTCAGGGCTGTAAACGAGGGATTTCACAAATGCTTCTTTGTCCTCTGGCTCAGGATACCAGGAGGCCAAGTTGTGTTTATAGGCATAGTCAACCACCTAAGAACAAGAGACAGAAAAAAAAACATTGGACAAAGCCATTTATTCCAACTAGATGCCATCTAGATCAGAATTCCCCAACCTTTCCGGGTTGGCAGCCCAGGCGGGGGAGGGGCAGACGTGTGCGCATGCACGCATGCCCACATGAGCACCCTTTGCTCACGCAAGTGAGGCTGAGAGCACCTGTGATGCTCGCGCAATTGGGGCTGCAAGTGCCTGCAACACTTACGTGAGTGGGGCCCCGAGCACCCATGACACTCGCGTAAGAGGGTCTGTGCGCACACGTGCATGCGCCAGCCAATCGTTCATGTGACCTGGTTGCGAATAGGCCACAGACCGGTAGTGGCCCATAGGTTGGGGGCCTCTGATCTAAGTCAGTGGTTCTCAACCTTTTCCTCAACACAGACCCTCTTTAAATAACTTTTGTGTATCACCAAGACTTAAGATTCAAATCATAACATTTCTTTAAACTTTCGTGGACCCCTTGTGATGACATCACGTTCCCCCCCCCAGATGCTGAAACATTCATGGTTTCAAAACAGAGAGGAAACAGGAGTTTGTCTTCGAGAGTAGGAACTTAAATCTCTCATACCAGGAACCTCACAAAACGTCTTACTTTAACGGCAATTTTGAAGGATACGTCTCGAATGGAGCTCAAAGGGGGATACAGCCTTCCTTCAGCCAGATTTTCCTGTGTAACCTCTTGTGCAATTGCCTAGGAGAGAAGAAAGAGAGTGTGCATCACATTAGGAAATGTTTTCCAACAGGGACCACATCCTCTCTTTGTGTATCTAGTAGTACTTAACCTAAGCCAGGGGTAGGCAACCTTGGCTCTTTTATGACTCGTGGACTTCAACTCCCAGAATTCCTGAGCCAGCATGGGGGAACTGTGGCTCCTTCATGACTCATGGACTTCAACTCCCAGAATTCCTCAGCCAGCATGGCTCAGCTTGGAAACCTCTCCCTTTCCCCTCAGCAGGCTGGCTCAGGAATTCTGGGAGTTGAAGTCCACGAGTTATAAAAGAGCCAAGGTTGCCTACCCCTGGTCTAGATTCTAGCTCTTCCTAGGAAAGTTGGCTTATTCCAAGTCTGACTGTTGTTCCATCTACCCTACATACAGGGAGTCCTCGACTTACCACCATAATTGAGCCCAAAATTTCTGTTAAGTGAGACATTTGGTAACTGAGTTTTGCCCCATTTTATGACTTTTCTTGCCACAGCTGCATGCGCTTACCTGCCACTTCTGCGGGCCAGTTCTGAAGGGGCTGCAGCCCGGTAGTGGGCCGTGGCCTGGGACTTGGGGACCCCTGGCTTATAACATTTAACAATCCACCACTTAAAATCCCATAACCCTCCCCCCACCCCCATGGCAACAACACAATAGCAATAGCACTTAGACTTGTATTCCGCTTCACAGTGCTTTACAGCCCTCTCTAAACGGTTTACAGTGTCAGCATATTGTCCCCAACAATCTGGGTCCTCATTTTACCATCCTTGAAAAAAATGGAAGGCTGAGTCAACCCTTGTGAGGCTCAGAATCGAACTGCCAAGCTGCAGGCAGCCGGCAGTCAACGGAAATAGCCTGCAGTACTGCATTCTAACCACTGCACCACTGCAGCTCAATCAATCAAATCAACCACTTGATCGGCTCCATCTTCTCAGGCCCACCGACAAAACCAGTATATCCAAAAGGCAACATGGTGGAGGCCAACCATACTTCAGGGAGAATGACGCTCCAGAGGGAAGGAGCCGCCACTGAGAAGGCCTTCTTTTTGTGGTCCCACCAGATTACCTCCCCAATCGATGGGACCCATGACATACCCTCTCCTTGGAAGTAAAATGATAGTCAAGTGGAACATAAGAACACAAACCTCTGCTGTGGTGAGAAAGATTTCCTCGGTGATGTGACGGAGTCCACAGGCGATGACTCCTAGAGCAACTCCGGGGAAAACGTAGGCATTATTCCCTTGACCAGGGAAGAAGGTCTGTCCATCGGAGAGGGTCACCTTTGGAAACGGGCTCCCACTGGCGAATATGGCCCGGCCCTATCCAAAGAAATGCAAGATAAAGTCCAGGCACCATCTGATAAGAAGTCAAGATATTTTGTTTTATTATTTTATTTTATTATTTTATTTTATTTTGTGACTTTTTTCCGTGCCGTTGTAATTTCGAATAGTCACTAAATGAACTGTGGTAAGTCGAGGACTACCTGTATAATATTTTTGCCAGAGACTTGCGTTAACTTTCAGTTTCCTTTAAAAAAAAATCTGCCATAATGAACAAGGACCCTGGCGTTTGCTTACTGCACGTTGCACCAAATGTCATAAAACTGGGCACGGTCACACGATGATCCACTTAATGACATCTCAACCTAGGACCGCAATTGTTGACTCAATTACAGTCGCGGGCAGAGGACTCTCTGTAGTCGGAAGCTTCGACAAGAGCGGTCTTACGTCTGTCAAGCGGTAACAATCTTCGGCCGTACATTCTGCTTTGCTCGTTGGGTTGCTGAGGGCGAACACGATGGGCTTCTCATTGAAGGTCCCCATGTCCTTCAAAATCCGGTGAGTGAAAGCACCTGCCACAGCAGCCACACCTGCAAGATTTTTTTTAAAGGAAAGAGAACAAACGGAAGAAAACAAGAGTTGGATGGAAATAAATTGACCAGCTCAAGGTTGATTCAGCCTTCCATCCTTCCGAAGTCAGTGAAACGAGGACCCAGATTGTTGGGGGCAATACGCTGACTCTGTAAACTGCTTAGAGAGGGCTGTAAAGCATCGTGAAGCGGTACCTACGTCTAAGTGCTATTGCTAATTTCTGTGTACGCTTTACCTGAGAACTGAACGTACCTGTTTTCTGGGTTCACACAAATGCTGAAGGAAAAGCTAAGCAAACAGGCTGGATCTGTGCCATCAACCAGGCCATAAAAAGCTCACGCCAATTAAGCATGCTTTTACAACATGATGTGAAGTGATGTCCCAACCTGCTTAAGTGTTTTGCTATCTCCATCCCGCCTTTATTGGTTTTACAAATTACTCAAGGTGGTGAACACATGCAACACATCTTCTTCCTAATATTTCCCCCACAATAAGTTCTAGTTCTGCCTAAGCCATGACAGCTGGTTGAGTGACTTTTTGCCAGTCACCAGGAGACTGGGGAGTTGTAGTCCCACCTTATAGCTATAAAAAACAATGAAGTGACTTTGGGCCAATCACCGGGAGACAGTGAGTTCTAGTCCTACCTTAGGATGGAAGTCAGCTGGGTGACTTTGGGCCAATCACTGGGAGACGGTGAATTTTAGTCCTGCCTTAGGCTGGAAGTCAACTGGGTGACTTTGGGCCAATCACCGGGAGACAGTGAGTTCTAGTTCTACCTTAGGATGGAAGTCAGCTGGGTGACTTTGGGTCAATCATGCTCTCTCATCTCAACTCATCGCACAAGGTTGTGGGGGAAAAAAATAGGAGGATGAAGGAGTATTAGGTATATTCACCACCTTGAGATACTTCTATAGTAATAAAGGTAGGATTAAAAAAATGTAATAAATAATAATAAATAAATTATTAACAAATTGTAAATAAATAGGTAAGTAATTGCAGCATGAAAGTGAGAGTCAACAGGAAGGCATGAAGAACAGAGAGAATTCTACAAGGAAACCAGAACAGTTACCAATAATAGCTGTTGGTTTTATTGTCCGCACCACTTCCTCCAGGGTCTTCACAGTGGGATGGTCATGAGCAAACATCTCCTTCTCGTGGTTCAGATGACTTCTGCCCTGGGAAACAAGAAAAGCACAGGCAAACATATTTCCAAGTTAAAAAAAAAGAAAAGAAAAAGACTGGAGCAAGCCATTTTTCCAGCATTGTGGATCTACGGGGATTAGATATATGAAAGACTTGTTCTCAGTGGTTACTCAACAAAACCCGGACAAACTCATTCTTCCTGGAGAGTCACCAATCCTGAACATTTCCAGAGGCAGCTGGTCATTCATTTAATAGGTTGTCTTGGTGGCCATAGCAAAAAGAAAGTCTGAATCATTTTTAAAAAAATATGGGTGAGCTGTTTTATATTTATGGAATATTTCATGCTATTTTTTTTTTAATATTGTTACTCACACCAAGCTCTTAGTATTAGAGAGGGAAGGGGTAAGAAATCTGATCCCATACTCCTTGTGTTATTCAGAAGCTTTTGGGATCTGGACGCAAATTTTCCAAAGAGTTTGAATGATGGGATTCTGAGGGTGGCCGAAGTAAATTCTTCACTCAACACTGAATTCCCACAATCCAGTGATCGCTAGTTGAGTGATGCCATTTGTGACCTTCTTCTGCTGGCTTCTCACGAAGTAAGTCAATGCAAGAATAGAATAGAATAGAATAGAATAGAATAGAATAGAATAGAATAGAATAGAATAGAATAGAATAGAATAGAATAGAATATGGAATGGAATGGAATGGAATAGAATAGAATAGAATATGGAATGGAATGGAATGGAATGGAATGAAATAGAATAGAATAGAATAGAATAGAATATGGAATGGAATGGAATGGAATGGAATGGAATGGAATAGAATAGAATAGAACAGAATAGAATAGAATAGAATATGGAATGGAATAGAATAGAATAGAATAGAATAGAATAGAATATGGAATGGAATGAAATAGAATAGAATAGAATAGAATAGAATAGAATAGAATAGAATGGAAAGGATAATAATAGAGTTGGAAGGGATCTTGGAGGTCTTCTCGAGCATGAGATCCTATATCATTTCAGACAAATGGTTCCCAGTCTCTTTTTGAAATCCTTCAGTGATAGAGCATCCACAACTTCTGGAGGCAGGCTGTTCCACCAATTCATTGTTCTAACTGTCAGGAAATTTCTCCTTAGTTCTAGGTTGATTAATTTCCTTGATTAATTTCCTTGATTAATTTCCATCCATTGTTTCTCATCTTGCCTTTTGGTGCTTTGGAAAATCGTTTGACCCCCTCGTCTTTGTAGGAGCCCCTCAAATATTGGAACAGTGCTATCATGTCCTCCCTAGTCCTTTTTGTTAGACGAGGCATACCCAATTCCTGTAACCATTCTTCGTACGTTTTAGCATCCAGCCCCCTAATCATTTCATGTGAAGTGACAGTACAGCTTTATATTGACCTGGTGAGACCACCCTTGGTATGCTGTGTCCAGTTCTGGTTACCATAATACAGAAAAGATCTGGCAACTCTAGAAATAGGGCAGAAAAGAGCAACAAAGATAATGAAGGGTCTTAGAGGCTAAGCCACATGATGAACGATTGAGGAAACTTGTTATGTCTAGTCCAGGGGTAGGCAACCTTGGCTCTTTTATGACTCGTGGACTTCAACTCCCAGAATTCCTGAGCCAGCATGGCTGGCTCAGGAATTCTGGGAGTTGAAGTCCACGAGTCATAAAAGAGCCAAGGTTGCCTACCCCTGGTGTAGTCTAATAAAGAGAAGGACTAGGGGTGATATGATAACAGTCTTCCAGTTGAGGGGCTGTCACAGAGAAGAGAGGGTCAACTTATTCTCCAAAGCACCTGAGGGCAGGGCAAGAAGCAATGGATGGAAGTTTATCATGAGGAAATCCAATTTAGGAAACATTTCTTGGTAGTGAGAACATTAATCAGTGGAATTGCATGCCTCTGGAAGTTATGAGTGCTCCATCACTGGAGCTTTTTAAGAAGAGATTGGACGACCACTTGTCTCCTGCTTGAGCAGGGATGGATTATAAGACCTCCAAGGTCCCTTCCAACTTAAATATTCTACGTTCTCTGTTCTAATGGGGAAGCTGGCAAGAGGTTACAAATGGCGATCAGATGTCTGCAGGATGCAGCATCCCTGCAAAATTTGCCTAGCGATGGCACCTGGACTAGCAGGACTGCCATCATAAGATTCCACAGTCATGTGACATTGTGTCTTATGACTGCATCACTTAGCAACAGATTTACCAATCCCAAGTACAGATGCCGCAGCGTCCCTGGAATCCCTGTGGTGTCTGTTTTAAGGGGCTGACAATTACCTTGACGATGAGTCCTTTCGAGTCCACCATCCAGATCTTCTTAACGGCTTCTTCTCTGGGAATTCCTTCTTTCTCGAGGGCCATAACTATGAGGTGAGCAATACCCAAAGCAGCCTGCAAAGAAGCAAAAAGTCAATTCATTATTTCCTTCTAACGGGAGGAATGAAAGAGTAGGGCCACTCAGGGTCACCTGAGTAGTGCAAAGGGGTGTGGAACCTTCTTGGCTGCAGGATGTTTTCTGTCCTGTGTCTCGTCACTGTTGTTGGGGCTGAGTCTGTGCTGTCTGCATCTCAAACTAAAGTGCAAATGGTTTGAGATGCAGCCAACACAGACTCATCCCTAACAGCCTGCGCCTGTCTCCAACAGTGTAAGGACACAGGGCAGAAGACATCCTGCAGCCGAGAAGGCTCCACACACATTTGCGCTGCTCAGGTGATCCTGAGGACACAGGTAAACCTCCAAGGGGTCTCAATGACTCTCTAAACCAGGGGTGTCAAACTCAATTTCATTGAGGGCCGCATCAGCATTGCGGTTGCCCTCAGGGGGGCGGGTGGGTGTGGTCAGGGTGGGTGTGGCCTACTGGATGGGCGTGGCCTACTGGGTGGGTGTGGCCAGCTCTACATCGTTCGTGTCAAGGGTGCCTGTGGGGGCCTGGGCAGGAGTGGGACAGATCTGAGGGTCTCTGGCAGAAGGGGATGGGACCGGGGCAAGCGCCAAGGCATGGTCCACTGGAGGAGCCTCACTGTTCCTCTCAGGCCATGCAGAGGGGGGGGGCTTATGGAGCTAAGACTGAATGCGTTTCAGCATAAATGGCCACCACAAAATTGTACATTGGCTCCCAGCTGGCCTGGGCCAGGGCCAAGGCAGCGGGGGCCGTTTCCTCACTGTTTCCAGGATGGCTTCACAGGCCACATGAAACCACTTCGCGGGCCGCATCCGGCCCCCGGGCCTTGTGTTTGACATGTCTGCTCTAAACAAATGCAAATGACCAGCTGCTTGCAAGGAATATAAATCCTTCCATTCCCCAGTCAGAGCTGAAGAAGCTTCTTGGATGAGAAGCAAAACGAGTTACAACAGCACTGAAAAAAGTGACTTATGACCACTTTTCACACTAACAACCACTGCCGCATCCCCATGGTCACGCGATCAAAATTCGGATGCTTGGCCCCTGACTCCCATTTATGACGGTTGCAGTGTCCCGGAGTCACGTGATCCCCTTTTGTGATCTTTGGACAAGCAAAGTCAATGGGGGAAGCCACTTAACAACAGTGTTACTAACTTAACAACCGCAGTGATTCCCTTAACAACGGTGGCAAGAAAAACTGTAAAACGGGGAGAAACCCGCTTAACCACTGCCTCGCTTAGCAACAGAAATTTTGGGGATCAACTGTGGTTGTAAGTCAGGGACTACCTGTGTGTTGTTGCAAAACCAGCCAATGGGTAACGTAAAGGGATGTGAGATGAGCGCTTGAGAGATGGAGGAAGAACCACGGTCAGATCAGAGAGGCATGGCAAAGATCTCAGAAGGGATCCTGTATAGTTTCTCGGACTATAAAGGGGAGAAATGTACTTTGAAACTTGCAAGATTCTTTTCATGTAATCTTACAACCAAGTGGAGCTCGTACTTCCGGATGCGCTTCTAGTGTGGACTACCTCGCAAGGCTGAGCGGTGGTTCCCCCAAACCCTGTAACTCTCAGAAGCAAACCAGAATCCTACCTCGCCAGCTCCTTGGAAGACAAACTTATGATCAGAAAGCTTGTTCTTTGTAATTCTTAAGGCAGCGAAGATTCCTGCTGTAGCAACAGAGGCAGTTCCTGCAAAAAGGAAAAAGAATATATATATACATCCAGACAATCCTATCATTGCTGTGGATGGACCTCAGGAGTGTAAAGGTAATATAAAGAACTTGGTGTCTTTTTTTCAGTAAGGTCTGGTGTTTACTGAAGTCCACGATCAACCAGAACAGCTGAGATTACAATTTTCCCTGGTGGTTTACAGTTTACAGATTCATTTAAGAACCAGGTGATTCACTTACTAACTGTAGTAATTTGCTTAACAACAGGGGCAGAAAACTTTGTGAAATCAGGTGTGGCCCACTTAACCGCTGTCTTGTTTAGCAATGGAATTTCTGATCTCAAATGTGGTCGTAAGTCGAGGACCACCTGTAACTTTGGAGGTGAGAGAGGGGAGTTGGCTCAAAGTCACCCCACAATCTTCTGTGACTACGAAGGGTCTCAAACCTGGGTCTTCCCATTCCTGGTCCAATATCTGCATCGCTACAACACACTTTCCGTCTAATGGTGAAAAAAGTAAGGTTCTACATTTAGGCAAGAAAAACCAAATGTACAGGTGTAGTATAGGGGGTACCTTGCTCAATAGTAGTAACTGAGAGAGGGATCTCGGAGGCCTAGTGGACAATCACTTAAATAGGAGCCAGCCGTGTGCTGCAGCTGCCAAAAAGGCCAACACAGTGCTGGGCTGCATTAACAGAGGGATAGAATCAAGATCACGTGAAGTATTAATACCACTTTACAAGGCCTTGGTAAGGCCACACTTGGAATACTGCATCCAGTTTTGGTCACCACGATGTAAAAAAGATGTTGAGGCTCTAGAAAGAGTACAGAGAAGAGCAACAAAGATGATTAGGGGACTGGAGGCTAAAACATATAAGGAACGGTTGCTGGAATTGGGTTTGTCTAGTTTAATGAAGAGAAGGACGAGGGGGGACATGATAGCAGTCTTCCAATATCTCAGGGGCTTCCACAAAGAAGAGTTGGGGGTCAAGCTCTTCTCCAAAGCGCCTGAAGGCAGGACAAGAAGCAACGGGTGGAAACTAACCAAAGAGAGAAACAACCTAGAACTAAGGAGAAACTTCCTGACAGTTGGAACAATTAATCAGTGGAACAACCTGCCTCCAGAAGCGGTGAATGCTCCAACACTGGAAGTTTTTAAGAAGAAACTGGACAGCCATTTGTCCGAAATGGTATAGGGTTTCCTGCCTGAGCAGGGGGTTGGACTAGATGACCTCCAAGGTCCCTTTCAACTTTATATTTATTATTATTATTAACCCCAAAACTGAATTACCCTGTATTGTAGTTTATAAGGCAGATTGTGTTGTTTTTTTTTAGAAAAATATGGATCACGGCCATTCATCGATGGCTTCCTTTCCTTGAACCAGCCTGTGGACTTCAGAGTTGGATTAAAAGAGAATTTGACATCAGCCTATTGTCAGAAGAATAACGTAGGGTTCCAACTTGAGCTGGGTTGGCACAGGAACAAATCAAAATGAAATCCAGACGCTGTGAGGAAAGAAGATTTATTCTTTTCCAAAAACAAATAGGTTTGCCCGTGGGGGTAGCTACAGAGAACATGGGGTACACACAGAGAATGTTTTATAGGGGGATTGATCCTTAGTATGGGATGGAGGGGCATGCTGATTCTAGTGTGTGACACCTGAGGGGCGTGTGTGTGTGTGTATGTGTTGACTCGGAGAAGGGGTTGATTAAATCAAGTGATGTGGATTGAGTTTCTTTCTTTGAACTGTGAGCGTTATGATTGCTTACACTGTGTTGACTCAGTTTGGTGTGTTTGCTTGGATGTGTTTACAATTTGAAATAAGTATTTCATTAATTCTTATGGTTGCTGTGAGTTTACAGGATTTGGGGGGGCTGTTAATCAGTAACTCTGTTGGAGACTTGAGTTAGTTAACATATGATTCCCTATAGAATATTTCTAACACAGTTATATAAATTTATAAATTCTTCCCATGCTGTCCAACATACATAGTCGGACTGTGCAATTTCTGGACCATTAAGCCAAACTCATCTCTCAGTCACAACGGGGTCTTGTTAAGGTCGCTTAGCGCTAATGGATACACCTCTTGTATTACTGCAAAACTAAAGTAACACAATCACACCTTTGCATTATAGATGAAACTGATGGCTGCGCTTGCCAGGTGTTTAGATATGGGCTTAGCTAGGCCAATAAGAAATCGTCTAAATTTCTGTTGAGGCACGAATCAATCTGAACTGAAAGGAAGGAAGGAAGGAACTCTCCTAAATCAATCTTTGTAAAAAGGAATCAGGAAGTGTGTTGGTTTACACAGTTGCTCTGGAAACATTTGATTAGGATAATTTAGGATAACCTTCCATCCTCCGGTCAAACCTGGCTTGGTTTTGAGAAGATGGAACAAGCATTTGGATAAATGGTCTGGTCTGTTGCCTGTAACTATGGCATTGGTGCTTCTGACCAATTTTGCAATGTACAATTTCAAAAAAAAAATCGCAGAACCAGTTTATTGACCTGTTTTGGGTTGTGTAAGGCCAACAACGCTTTTGATTTTTGCCCTACAGGGGCTTCTTAGAAAACAAATTTACTATGTTCTGAATTCTGATGAAAAGGAAAAATTTTCCAACTCGCATTTTAGATGGCGTTTTCCAGGTGGATATTAAAAGCTGAATTGTGTACCAATAAAGAGGAATATTTGTATGAGTTTTGTGCCTGCTTCTTTCAGCTATAGAGGGGAAAAAATATAATGAACTGTTCAGCAGAGGAGAGGCAGTTGCATTATCTTACATTAAAGCCTGACGGGTGCCACAGAATTTAAAGAGAATTGATTGCAGGCTCCCAGTTGAACTCAATTTTGCAATTTATACCACACTACCCACACACAAACACAATAAATATCTGGTTGCCTGTGAAGTTGCCTGTAGACCACGGTATCATGCTGCGGCGTCTCGGTGGGTTAGGAGTGGGAGGCACCGTTATGCGGTGGTTCTCCTCCTTCCTCACCGACCGTACGCAGTCTGTATTGGCAGGGGGACAGAGGTCGACTCCTAGGCCCCTAGCTTGTGGGGTGCCTCAGGGGTCGGTCCTCTCCCCCCTTTTGTTCAATATTTATGTAAA